TGTGTGTGTGTGTGTGTGTGTGTGTGTGAAGGGAGTATGAGAGGGGGAAAAGGGGTGTTTAGCAAATTATATCTGCTGAGATCTACAGGCACGACACTTTCTTTGGCGTATCAGGTTTCTCTTTCTTCTCTTCGTCTGTCTTCTGTACTTTTTTGTTCAAATGGCCAAACGATGTCCTGTGCAATACCTTTATGTACCAAAGATATGGAACCAGATACACAGTTTAGATCATTTCGAGAGAGGGCTGCTTGACTCTGCCTGTCAGGACCAGCCAGGGATAAATGAAACGGAGCACCCCAGCAGACTGGCAACGATACTCGATATATATATTTATTTTTTAAATTCAAACCCTCTATCTGAAACTTTCTTGAATTACTAAGCACATTCCGGGATGAAACTAACGTCAGCTATGTGAAGACGAAATCCATAATGGTGGTTACCCATTGGCTGAAACGTTACCTTAGAATTACAAAGTTCTATCTGATATTTGTGGCTGTTTTTTGGTTACTGGGAACATGAGGTCATAAACCATAAACCTTTTCTATCAAAATCGTAAGATTATTATTAAGAGTCGTTATTAAGGTATTCAAATAATTGCATTCGAAAAAGCTTGACACGTTGTTAAATTCAAATTGTTTACGTCAGATTTATCAAAGCTAGGTTCTGAGCAGACTGAACTTGGTAATTCTAAGTTAGCGACATCGACCCGATTTGATTGATCATGTCGTGTCGGGTCGAGTCGGTTAATGTCGCATCCCGTTCTCACAGTAACTGGCCAATGCTTCGCTCCAACAAATTTAACCTCGAAGTTCATAAGCGCCTTACTCTGAGCGTCTAGATCTGACCCCACAGTTTGAAGTACTCTTCTGGATTGTCGTTTTCTTCTAATGTATCAAACGTATCAAATGGTAACTTCCACCTTCACCTATCCCGTAGACTGGATGTCCGTCGGGGCGCTTTTGAAAGTTTGGCCACCAGCTTTCTCCACTCCTTCCGGACTTCAGCTTTTCTGAGCGTGTCTTTGAGTTCCAGGCCTGTCCATTCCTTAATATTGTCCTCCCAACTCTTCTTCAGTCTGCCTCTTTTCCTTTTTCCCTGGACACTGCCTTTCAGGATCATCTTGGCAAGGCCGGGTGAAAGGGTGATGTGTCCATACCATTGCAGGTTGCGTTTCCTGACCAGAGTGAGAAGGTCAGCATATGGTCCGATTTCATTTTTGATTCTTTGTTTGACTTCATAATTTGTTGTATGATCTTTGTATGAGGTATCAAGGATTTTTCGGGAAGCATCTCATCTCCACAGCTTTGATCCGTCTTTTAAGGTCTGCATTCAAGGTCCAGGTTTCACACGCATACAAAAAGACTGACATGATCAGGGAACCTAGAAACTCAAATATTTTTTATTTGGTTTTTGAACGATTTGATAGACCGCCAGAAAGGTGCTTATTTTTCCTCTCCGTGAAAGAAAACATTGCCACTTTCAAAATTGTTATACTATGCACCAAATAGAAGATTGAACAAACTTGTCCTCAATGTGAGTTGGGTATAACCATTATACCACGATACCGACTACTTGTTAATTAATAGAAGGGTTTTATAGGTACTTAATAACTAACTTTTTACAAGAGCTTACTCAGTTCTCGAACACCCTCGTTCTTCAAGGCGACGTATTCTCTGTACAAGTCGACCATCTTAGCTCCCGTCTCGTCACGCCAGCCCTTCCAGGCAGACAGGAGAAGGTCATAGTCATGAGATTCCGTCATGGTCCTAGTAAGGCCTAGATATGGCGGCATAAACAAAAAAGGCGTAAAATCAGTGCATAATTTTTCTTCCAATAATAGCAAAAGGTAATTTTTAAAAATAAGAGTGTCGGTTGTTGGATGCTCTTGTGTGGCTCTTTCCTACCAAACATCTATCGTCCTTACC